AAAAAAAAAAAAAAAAAAAAAAAAAAGAATAAAAGAATCGTATAAGCTTAACTCAGTCACTAAAAACGGCTATGTACACTCCTCGTATTACACAATAATAATCTAATCTATATCTAAATAAGGACAACAGAGAAAAAGGAAATTCTCTCTGTTTCTCCCTCTCTCTTTTTCTCTTATTTTCTTTCTATCTCTAAACGGTACTGTCTAGAGCCTTTAGTAACGCATATCACAGTTACAAAAATTCAACATTTCTCGCTACTTGGCAATCATCTTCCCCTCCTTGTCTGCAGTATCAAACTAACTTTATACACATGTACACTTTCAATTCCACATGAAAATATTTGAACGCTTAGAGAGATCTTTTCTTGAACATATTGTGAACGTTGCGCGAGACATTATTGAAGACAAGATTGAAAAAAGCATTGGAAATTATTGAAAATATAGAATTACAGTCGATTATCCACTGAATGTCGATAGTACAATTTCTAATAAATAAATAGATCTCGAACCAGTTCATACAAGAACAAAATAAAATTTTAGAATTCCAATAAATTCTAAAATTTGCTCACAAAGAACATTCACGAATAAAAAATACAAAAATATAATGAATTAAATTAATGTTGGTTTCAATTTATTGATTTGATATGTTTCGGAGAAAAATTAATATTGATAATCGTGTCTCGTTATAGTCTTGAAAAAAATCCCAAAATGTTCTACATATATACATGAAAGTTTTCTGCGATAAATGTTCAAATACTTTCGTGAATCACTGTATATCTATCAGACTCGAACACTTTCGTCAGCCACGGTTGCGTTGTTTTTACATGAGAGCCGTGTGCACGTGTAAGGCTAGAACTATGTCAGATCGGAGACAGTTTTTTGCTCCAAGTGACCGAGCTGGCTTCGAGTGCCAACGATGCAATTCGAATTGACGTTGCTCGTACAGTGTCGTGCCTCTTGGAAATGATCTGAGTGCTTTTGCTTTTGGTCGGTTGGATCGGAAGCTCTTCACAATGACAGTCGTCTCTTGTTAAGCTCTTAAACTACTTGTCAACACAGTAGAACTTTATTTGTCGAAACACTGAATATTGAAATATTTAAAATTGCGGAGAGAAACAATTTCGATAGAAAATTATTATTATTATATACAAGGACATTATAATTTGAATATTTTGTGACATATTATGTGACATTTTGCACATTTCCAAATTTCCCATAAATGCACAAAAGTCTAATTATCCAATGATGCTGATCGAGTGTCAACTTAAATTGTATTTAAATTTATAAATTATTTTTCGTTTTAATTTTCATTCTGTGCTTCATATAGGCCTTGATTGATTCAACTTTAGAGCTTGCAAAGAATAACGAGAATTAAATTTATTAATGTATCTTTTCATGGAAGTTTGTTTTAATTTCATTCTATTTTATCAATTTTGTATACCTTGGAGAATTCACTGTTAATTTATCTTAATAGCTGCAATAATAAATCATTCGTCACAATGTATTTTAATCTATTACATTAATTTATGGAGTTAATTAATTGGAACTTTCTGAATTTCTAAATACATCAAAATAATATACAATATACCGCCATTGTAATATTATAAATCTTTCAACAGTTCTATACTTTTTCAGTTAAAATTCAACCTTTTTAATCCAAGACCTTTTCAATTTCCTCTCTATGAAATTCAATTATAAAAACATAGACGTTTACCAGTACTTTCACGGTGATACTGTCATAAATATGCATGACAGACCAACCATGCAAGAGTTGCCATTTTTACATGGAATTTATCAGGCTATATATGAAACACATAGGTCCTCTATGAGTACTTTTTACTTCCGGTCACGTAGGTCTAATTACAGACAGCCAATCATTGGCGGGAAGAGCTTCAGATTCCAATTGACATAATCTAATATAGTGATCGTTCGATTTTAATGGCCATTTTGTTCACTTATGGGGCAACTATAAATGTTTATGCAAATATTTAGTTTCAAATGCATTTTGTTGTTTTTTTTTCTAATACATCTAAACTAAATAATTTTATTTTGATAGATTTTGAATTTAATTTAATCTGGATAATAATTATTACTCAATGGAAATTCGTTTTAAAATACATCAATTAAATTGTTGTAACATTGTAAACTTTTGAATTTTTCATAAATGCATAAACATTCACAGTCTGGGTTACAACATTAGGAAGACTTTCTAGAAGAATAAAAATCTCCTTACTACATCTCTATTAGTCAAAATGCTGATCGTATTAAAATAGAAGATCCCTCTAAACGTGGAAGAATACTTTCGTGGCATGAAAAACAATCGCACGCCACAAGTGAACAAAATAGCCACGAACTCACTGAATTTCCTTAAAGCGAGCAATAAATATTTTTTCCTAGAAAGAAAAATCTCTTGAGTATTTCAACGCGAAGATCATATCAATTACAATTACAATAATACTTGAAAAAAATTAATTACATTTTCTCTATGAAATGAGGAAACAAAAGAATAATTTGCCCATTTCGAGAGGTCAGTTATCGAACAATATTTCTTTTACAGAATAAAACAAACCGATAGAAAACACAAAACATGTACACTTTGTGAAGCACGTACGTAACGCGAACGTAATGCTCGAAAAAAGAAACACTTACTTTCACCCCCACCCAACCTCTTTGTAAAACACAGTTCACAGTTCACACGCTAGCCAAACAGTAATATTTCATTTTCTACGAAATTTCTGAGACACGGTTCGCTACGGCGACTCGCGGAATTTCCCCCTTCGTTTTCTTTTAGTAGGAAATTTTTGGAATGCAGCCCGCGTGCTCCTCCTTAGCAAGTTATAAACGATAAAGATAAGAGAGAGAGACGATATTGATACGTTTCTCTCTTCAGAAATTATTTTGTAAACCTCAGAGCAGAACCTCGAACAGCTTTAGATACACTGCGTCTTGTAATTGTGTTAACCATTTTGACAGTTCTTGATTTCATTATACATTGCATTACATACCATTCGTACTGTATACTAATTCGTATCGTATGAAGAATATAATTTAAAAAAAAATTCAACATTTTCTTCTTTACGTCGAAAGTAATATTGCGACTCTATATTTGGTTCCAGTTTCCCATAAATGCATGAAAATCCACCATGAGATTATGGCAACATTAATTCTACTGGGAAGATAATCCACAAGGGAAGGAAACAATGAAAATAATAAATAATTCAATTTTCAATCCACGGATTTAAGATTTAAGATTCGCTTGTAAAATGATTCTTCAAAATGGTCTGACAGTTATAAGACCGGCAGTGCGTGGTCGTAAGACCATGTCTTTCCGAGGAGGACACATGAAACTAATAATTATGCTCGGAGCCCGTAGCCTCGACTTCTTTTTACGCGTTGTATGGCTATCGTTTATAAATACATATACCTATATCACTATTTTACAATATCTTCAGTAACGGCGCGCTCGCTTGTAATATCTTCTCTTCATTTGACCTGGTCTAACAAGAGGGAAGCCGCTAAATCTACGTTGTATTCAGTCTGCTTCAAAGCACCCTCGCACTGTTGTCGGTCTGCCAAGCCCAATCTGAAATTGCGACAGTCGATTGCGTTATTTCTTTCTTTTTTCTTCTTCTTCTTTTTGCGGGCCGTTCGGCCTCGTTGCACAATTGAAAAAAAAAAAGAAAAAAATTTCTTTTTCACTGCCAATAACTCAGTGAAC